TGCTGTGAGGGAAATCTCGAGAGTACTGAAGAGCAACGACATCAGGCTGGAAATTAAGGTGTGCCTGATCAGGGTTATAGTCTTTGCAATTACATGCTATGCATCAGAAAGTTGGACAGTGACTAGGGATGATAGAAAGAGAATTGATGCCTTTGAGCTGTGGTGCTGGAGAAGAGTGTTGAATATACCATGGACTGCTAGGAGAACAAACAGGTTTGTCCTGGAGAGGGTGAAGTCGGAATGCTCCTTGGAGTCAAGGATTCTGAAGCTTCGTCTGACATACTTTGGGTATGTTGCAAGGAGGGACTGGTCCTTGGAGAGGAGCATCATGTTGGGAGAGTGGAGGGGCGGGGCAGGAGAGGAAGACCCTCTATGAGATGGATCAGTTCCATGAGTGGAGTGGTGGGAATGAGCGTCTTTGAGATGGCGAGGTTGGCACAGCATAGAACGGCATTTAGGACTCTTGTACATAGGGTTGCTATGAGTCGCAAGCGACTCGATGGTACATAACAAAAACAACAATACACAAAGTTTGGGTTGGTTTTATAGGAGTTCCTTCTTGAGAGAAAAAAATTATTTGAAAGACTATTATATGAACTGAAGATAAAAGTAGGTGGACTCACCAGAGTCAAAGGAAGACATTAAGCTTCAGGAGAATAGGTGAGAGAGCTAAGGCTCTCCTTTGCTTGTGGAGAGATGGGACTGAGGCTTCTTCCCTGGGGATATAGGTCCCCCCATCTGGGGATCCTTCACTCTGCAGCTGTGGGGACATCCCAGGAGCAAAATAGGACAAGAGACTTTTGGACAAGAAAAGAATGACTTTTCTCAGCTCTCTGAGAGAGGGAGCACTGACTTGAGACTCCCTGCACACAAATTGCTAGTGCTGGAGGCCCTGATCTTCCTGCCACACCAGAGACAAAGGAAGACACTAAAGATGCAAGGAGAAAAGGGTGGAAAGAAAGCTGACCAACAGGGAACAAACATTTGGCAATACCCTTTCAGACAAGGGTCTCATAACAAAAGTTTATAGAATACTTCTGGGCCTCCACAATAAAAAGACAGATAACACAATTACTAAACGGGCAAAAGACAGAGGAAGACATTCAAATAGCCAACAGATGCATGAAGAAATGTTCAAAATTACAGGCAATAAGAGAGATGCATATCAAACCCACAATGAGATACCAGCTCACTCCAGGAACAGTGGCAAAGTTTAGTAGGGCAGCAAGCAATAAATGTTGGAGAGGATGTGGAGATATAGGAACTCTCATACACTGTTGGTGGGATTGTAAAATGGTGCAACCACTCTGGAAGACAGTCTGCATTTCCTCGAAAAGTTGAACATAGAAACTCTGTATGACCCAGATATTCCACTACTAGCAATATACCCCAAGGAAATTAGAACTGAGACACAAACAGAGATTTGTAGACCAATATTCATAAGCAGCATCATTCACCATCAGAAGAATATGGAAACAGCCCAAATGCCCAACCACAACTGAATAGATTGAGAAATTCACCCAATGGAATACTATGCAGCACTCAGGAGCAACGATTTTGAAAAATACTACGTACCTAACTTGAGAGAAGCTGGAAAACCTTATGCTGAGTGAACTAACAAATGCAGTCTCATAAGGACAAATACTGCTTAAGACCATTACTGTAAAAATAAAAGGATAACTAGTAAAGCATGTATGGGAACTCAAGGGGAGGAGGGCTGAAGATGGATAGGGGCAAAACCAGAGGGTTGCCCAATTTGGTGGGTGAAGGGGAAGGAAATGGGAAGGATCAGGGCAAAATGATAGGTTAACAAAGGGCAGAGTCCAATGGTGAATAATGTTGTAAAACATAATGCATGAGAAAGATGGTATGAAACAGTGTTAATGAAGAACAGTGTGAAACACAATATATACTTTGTAAGCAAACTAATAAAAAAAAAAGTAGGTGGATTCACAAAAGAACCACCCAATAGAAAAGTTTCAAAGAAAAAAAAGACACTTGAGAATTTTAAGAAAAATTAACATTTTTGTAAAGATTTCCATTTTAGGGTAAAGAAAATTGAATTAAATATATTTAAAAAATATAAAGTGTGCTGATGTGTTAAGAGCTTAACATATAACCAAATACACACACACACACACACATTATAATTAAATAAGGAACTCTCCAGGACATATTTTTCGGTGGCATTGTTTATCTCTCTAAGAGACAAGATTGTCTTGTACCATTGTAGCTGACCCTCCAGTGGGTTTTCAGAGACAGTAAATCTTACCAGAGGAGATTGCCCATCTTTCTCCATTGGAGCCGCTGATGGATTTGAATAGCATGCCTTTGGGTTGGCAGCACAGCTCCTTACCACTAGGCCACCAGAACTCCCTAAAAGGCAGAGTAGGAATAGAAAAGTTAGGGATCAAATTCAGTCCTTCTCCAACCTCCAGATATCTTACATGTTTCTAGAGTCCTTCATGTTAACTGATCTAATTTCACCAGTTATTGCAATGATCCAAAAATATTGGCACTTTTCATTGTTCTCTACTTTAGTTCATCCTAAAACATCATTTTCCTTCTCACACTTCAAAGCTAAGCTCAGGGAATGGATGGGGAGGGAGGAAAGTGTGCAATGATGAACGAATATTTTTTAAAAAGAGAGCTCAATGTTTTCTATGAAGCTCCCTCACTGACCAGGGTATACAACCAATCTTTCCTTTGGGCTCCCACAGTATACTGATTTGGTGGTAAGGAATTGCGCTGGCACCAAAAGGCATATGGTTCGAATCTACCATCTGCTCCATGAGAGAAAGATGAACAATCTTCTTTGCTTCTTACTGACTCTGAAAACTCACTGGAGGTTCAGCAATGAATGAGTTCTGACTCAACTAGAGTTCCTGGGTAATACAGTTAATTGGCTACTGACAGGAAGATTGGTAATTTAAATCCTTTCAAAGGTGCTTCATAAAAAAGGTCCAACAATCAATTTCTGAAACATCACTTTTCTTAAAAACTGCTGGAGCACAATTCAGTCATACATGGGGGCGGGGGTAGAGGGGGGTGTGAAGGGAAGGGTCATCAAGTCAGAATTAGTGGCAACTGATACATAGCAACTAACGGCTCTACAAACATGTCCTCTAAGATTTGAGGGCTCTTGAGAGAACAATGCTCACATTTGGTTGCTTAGCTGAGTTATACAGACATTTTATCACTTGACTAAAGAGAAATGTCTGTAAGTTATTCATTAAATAAGTTGTAGTGCTTCTATGCTCTTACAGCCAGTGTAGGCAACTTACAGATGCCGGCAGACTATCTCCAGGTTCTGGAAAGAAGGTAGAAGTAGAAAGAAGAGGGTAGGGACAAAAACCACTCAATTATTTTAATTATTTTTTTTTTTCTTTTGCCTAGGCTTCGGAAAGTAGGTCAGTTACCAAAGAACAATTAGGAAACCTTTTTAAAGACTTTCTATCTAACTCTACTTCGTGTTGTTATTGTTGTTATGTGACATCGAGTGACCTGAGACCCACAGTGACCCTTATGTACAACAGCTCAGAAACCTTCTGTCCTGAGCCAGTCTCACTAATTCCGACACACCAACCCCCATTGCCCCAGATACTGTATCAATCCATTTCATACCGGGTCTTCCTCTCCTGTACCCTCCACCCTTCTGAGCATGATGTCCTTTTCCCAGGACCAGTCTTTCCTGGCCACGTGCCCAAAGTATGTGAGATGGAGCTTCAATCTAGCCTCCAAGGAGAGACTTGGTTTCACCAACATCACTATTAGACGTTTATTCAGCACTGTCTTTTCTCAAAAGGCAAGTAAGCCTCAAAGAATAGTATGGTAGACTTTTTTTCAAACACACCTTGTAGCTGAATTTATATTGAAAAGCAAAAATAGTACTGTTAGTCAACAAAAGGCAATGCCTAGATGCAGTGTCACTGGAAGGTTCAGATCAAGCAAAAAAGGAAGAGAAATGGCTATAAGGAAGCACCAAAAGGGAACAAGCTGCTCAAATAGAACTGTACACAAACCAACTTCAGAAACTTGCAAGAGGCTAAGAGGAAAGTAATCCTAAGTGGAATGTTTGGCCAAGCAGAGACGGGAGAAGGGAGATGCTGAGCCAGAGTATGGCCCAGGAATAGAGGCTAAAAGAGGCAAGCATGTTCTCTCCAGTGTCTGAGAGACAAAGCTTTCCCCTGGAGTTCAGACTTCTGGCCTCCTCAACCATGAGAAAAGTGTGTTAAAGCCATCCACGTGTAGGTTTTCTTATAGCAGCACTAAATAAGGGTGGTTCTTAACAAGGAAATGGCAACTAAGGGGCAGAAACTGAGGTCAGTGAAGAAAAATCAGGAGACTGGAACAATCAAAAGGTAAGAGACAGAAGTAAGATTAGGTTGAGAGAAATAATAATGCTATGACAAAAATTAGCCTTTTAGTGCTTCTCATTATCTCATTATCTAATTCCTTAGCAGGAATATCTACTAGGCAGAAGCAGATAATCTCATGGAGCTTGTGGTCTTGCAGTCTTTCCTGCAAATCTTGAGCTATGTTGAGTCCCCAGCATATTCACATTGCACAAAAATGAAGAAATGATACATCTTTATTTTCAAAACACATTGGTATTAAAAACTAAGTTATTATAAGGACTGGTCCTCTTGTGGTCTCCAATGACATGGGGGCCCCAGGAATGTGAAAGCATTAGTTAAAAATGTTAGCAGCAGCTACTGTGCCAAATTCAAGGGCCCAAGTCAAATCCTAGGCAGGTCCATGGATGTGCAGTAGGGCATAGGCTCCAGTCCGGTAAAAGGAGGGGAACAGTTTTTAGAAGGTGACTGGGCAAAAGAGAACCTGGCACTAGAAGCATCTAGTGGGAAAAGTAAGGAAGGTATAAGAAAGGAATTCTCCTCCCCTACTATCTAGGGGCAAGGCAGGCGACCCCAGCAAAGGTCCAAAGTAAAGAGCAGCCACTTGGACTCCATAAGGCAGAAGGTAGACCACTCTAAGGCAGATCACTTGGTGCACACGGGCTCAATGCTGGACACAAATCTGGAGACAAACTCTTCCAATTTCTCTGCAGCTTGTTTTCCAGCCTCTAGGACTTCCTCGTGTGAGGCTTTTTCCCGGCTCTCATAACTCAGGATGACCTTGTTAGTGATGAGGGACAAGCCAAAAACTCTAAGTCCACAGTGCCGTGCAACTATAACTTCTGGAACCGTGCTCATGCCTGGTGGGTAGAAGAGGGAGAAACCAACTTGTCAAGATCTGCAAACGACTTTTCCCTCAGCCTGTAACCTCACCTCCATTCATTATCAGGTCAAAATGTAAAATCTCAACATCTCTTCAAAATACCAAGTTATCTGCTGAAATCGTGTTGGCCTGTTATTGTTCGATATTGATTAAAATTAAGGACGGCTTCAAAGCACATAGTGATTGCAATACTACTAAATTATTCTAGGAGAGTCATGGGCTAGTGCGGCCAGGTCATTCCACAGTTCCCTTTGCAAAGTATTTTCCCTAGTAAGCCTCCTTATTTCCATATATTAAAGCTACTTGATCACTGAAAGGTTCAAATCTACTCAAGAACCAGAGGAAAGGCATGATGATCTATTTATAAAACATCATACTTATAGAGTCACATGACACTCCCCCGAGCCAACTAGTTTACTTTTTGATTTGGTTCTAAATGCAATGCCTTTTTCAAGCTAGTGATAATGAAAGTGGAATATAATGTTTGAATGATCCTTAGAAGCAATCAAGGGCCAGTAGCACTGACTTTATCTTTCTTATTAATATCTTACTGTTGTTGTGTACCATAAGAGTCAGAACCAACCCATGCCTGACCCTCTGGTGGGTTTTCAGAGGCTGTTAATCACACAAGAGAGGATTGCCCATCTTTCTCCCATGGAGCAGCTTGTTGGCCTCAAACCTCCTGCCTTCAGTATTACAGTACAGCTTCTTGTCATTAGGCCACCAGAGCTCCTTAATAGTATATACTTTATATATTAATAAGTATAAGCTATTTGTGAATTTATTAAGTATTCTCTGAAGTGTTGAAGACTTTGATGTTTCCTACTCAAGTATATGCCTAGAATAGAAGTCAATTTAATCTCCCTTCAAATCAAATTCTTTCTGTTCTATTCTCTAGGTCTGTGATTGTCTATTCCTCCCAATCCTGATTTTACAACATGCTCCTTTGCTAAAATGATAGCCAAGTTCCCCTTCTTACCAACAGCATCTGCCCCCAGTATCCGCAACATTTGAGACTCTGCCACAGTCTCAAAGTTGGGGCCCGCCAACATCACGTAAGTGCCTTCCTGTAGTTTGCGACGGTCTTTAATTTCTTTCCATATATTGTGAGCACTCTGTCTCAAATCTTGGTCATAAGCATCAGACATGGGAGGGAAACGAACTCCAAACCTAAGGCACAAGATAGATGATCATCTCAGATTGATAGACTACAATGAGCTTGCCTAAACAAATACTTAAACCCCACCCACCTGTTACTGAAGAAATAAGACAATTCACCTGTCCTCATTGGGGCCTCTGAGAGGATTCTGACCGGAGAAACCAGGCAAGTTTATATGATCCCGGATCAGCATAATATCGCCAACCTCAAAATCGGGATTGAGCCCTCCAGCTGCATTGGTAACCACTAGGGTGTCTACACCCAGAAGCCGAAAAACCCTCACTGGGAATGTGACCTGCAAAGAAAAAGATCAAAAAGTCTGAAATCAGCTACAACCAGGAGAAGATAACATAGATGAATGGGACCTTCTAAGACTCAAATCCCTATGCACATCCAAAAACTTCTCCAGTAGGGTAAAAAGGGAAGCCACTGACTGGGAAAAAGTATTCGGTAATAACATATCAGATAAGGGACTTATATCCAGAATTTATGAAATACTTGAGCACCACAACAAGATAAAGGTAAATAATCCAATAGAAAAATGGGCACAGGATATGAACAGGCATTTCACCGAAGATGACATTCAGATGGCTAACAAACACATGAAGAAATGCTCAAAATCCCTAGCCCTAAGAGAGATGCAAATTAAAACAACTATGAGATATCATTTCACCCCAGTCAAAATAGCAAAATTTAACAGAACAGCAAGCAACAAATGCTGGCGAGGTTGTGGAGAAACTGGAACCCTTATTCACTGTTGGTGGGAGTGTAAAATGGTGCAACCCCTGTGGAAAGCAGTATGGCGCTTTCTCAAAAAGTTGCAAATAAAAAAAAAAAAAGTTGCAAATAGAGATACCATTTGACCCAGCAATTCCACTACTGGGAATATACCCTGAAGAGACCATAGCTGACATCCAAGCAGATATATGCACACCCATGTTTATTGCAGCTTTGTTCACAATAGCAAGGAGTTGGAAACAACCTAAGTGCCCATCAACAAACGAATGGCTAGAGAAGCTGTGGTATATTCGCACAATGGAATACTATGCTGCATTAAAAAACAAGGAACTCATGCAATATTATTCAAAATGGTTGACTCTGGAGAACATTATGCTGAGTGAAATATCCCAGTCACAAAAGGACAAGTATTACATGATGCCACTGTTGGGGAGAGACTGAGTAAGATGGGTTCAATAATGTATACTGCACTGAAACAGAGGAGGGAGAAAACTGTTTAAAAGAGATATATAACTAGGTATTTCTGTCATCACAGGAGACTAGAGCGAGGGCTACATGGTGGAGGGGACCTGGGGGAGGGTTTGTAAAACAATGAAAGAATCTTTTCTTTTACTTTTCCATAATTTTTGGAATCATGTACTTATAACTTGTTAGTCAAATTTGTGCCTTCTAGGTTGCAACACCCCCATGATACATCTTCAAGGATATGAACATGTACGGCCAAGCACAATCAATAAGAGTGCATCTAAATCCCAAAATCAATCTCCATAATAGTCTATGTGTTTCCTACTGCCAAAGGGGCCCTCTAGAGTAGTGAGAGAAGATCTTCACCCTGAAACCCACAGCGTCCCTTTTCAGCAGGAAGTAGCTAAGAGAATACGCCGTCCCCTTTTCCTTATGACTCAGGGTGAAGTCTCTCTCAGGGAGGAGTGATAGGGAATGGCAAAGGACACACTGACAAAGAAGATTAATCAGAACTGGCTTTGACAAGCACTGTGGCATTTGGACAAGAACAAACTGGGAGGAGGGTAGAGAGAGTAGTGCAACAAAGAATGAATGGAAACCCAAAATCTCTGTAAATGTTTATGAAAATTAATAAAATATAGGAAAAAAAAAGTCTAAAATCTTTATCAGTCCAGTCACATAGATAATACGATACAAGCATAAAAATAAGGAAAGAGACCAAAAATCTCCTTTGCTAGATAGGTAATAAAACAGGAAGTAAGAAAAAGATCTTAAAAAAGAAAATGAAAAATATCTAGTTTATAAGAGGGGGGTTTTTGCTGTCTCTTTTCTCTCAGATCCAACCAAATTTTTGGCCATTTACCTTCAAGAGTGAGTAGCCTTCATACAGGTGGAATCTGCCTTGCATCACCACACAGGGTTTATTCTCCAGGAGCCCAAACACCAGGCGACCAGCATGTCCTGGAACTGTTCCCAAAACAGAAAGAGAAATGTATGCAACAGAATACATTGAGTACTTACTGTGGCTGACTCAAAGTGCTCAGCATTGGAGGGTAAAATGAAGCAAAAACAGACAATATTGTAAAAAAAAAAAGACAATATTGTGTCTGCTTTCAGAAAGCTGAAGTCTTATGGGGAGACAGATATGAATCATAATCATACAAATAACTATACATGTTTAATGTAAAAATAGAGATTGAGTGAAAGAATGTTTTCTCGTGGAAACGTGAAAGAATGAAAGGCATTTAAGAGGAGTTTCAAAAGAATGAGAAAGGAATGCTTCAAGGAAATAAAATGAGTAATGAGGTAGTGAATGCATTAATATTACACTTTTAACATTATACTTTTTTTCTCAAAAGTTTTACAATTCTCAATATGTGTATTTTTATTTGTTGCCCCAACAAAACCATTCTCAAACTCCAGAAAGAGAATTCTAGGTCTCCTCCAATTTCCTAAAGAGCAGGTTACTGAACAAGATAAAGAAGAACTGAGCCTGGACCCTGACAGGTCTCCTCTCTTGTCACGTGTGAGACTACGTACCCAAACTGGACATGTCGTGTGAGACTACGTGCCCAAACTGGACATGTCGGAGCACGTGCAGAGATAATTCCCCATACAGACATAATCACCATTATTACTATTCCCCTTATCTGGCAATCTTGTGTAGTGGACCTGGACAGCCTACCCCTGAGGGAATGAATGGTCTGGAAGAGTTGAGAGACAGAGGTTTATTTGAAAAGGAAAAAAGTACCAGACCAAAGGGAAAACCACAGTTAGGAAAACCCAAGTGTAGTATGCTGAAATAGATTGCCCACTTATCACTTAGCCCTTCTCACGTGGAAGGTAGGAGTGACAGATGGAACAAATGTTACTATTTCCTTTCCCTCTCTGCTTCATTTTATTAGAAGTCTTAGAAACTCTATGAAATTTTAATATGTAAACCAGGAGTAGTTAGTCATCTGAGAACTTAATAAGTAAACTAAGAGTAGTCCCTTGTCCTTTGCTTTCCCCAATTCACTAAACCATTTTCTAAGCCTCAGAGTTTTCTGGACACCACTACATATTATATTCAAAATAGTCTTTTTATCAGAGCTCCTACTGTATACAGGGAACAAACTTTTCCCCTTGCAAAAAGCTAAGTCTATTCCAGAGGTGTGCGGTTCGAATCCACCAGATTCTGCTGGAGAAGGAGGGACAATCTCTTCCTGTACCAGTCAGATCCAATTTGATGGTACACACACAAAAATAATAATTTTTTAAAAAACTAAGTCTTTATTAGCTTTTGTGTACTGTTTTGTTTACTAATGTAATCTAAGTATGTGTCTACAAAAGTATGCCATTCTGTACCAGAGCCTAGACTATAGGGCTAGAGCTACATATAGTTGGAGGCATGGAGAGTAGCAGAAAGACATCAGACAGGGGCTGCCTGACTGTGTCCCGGAAGTTTCCAGACACTGCTTTTACCAGAACTTATAGAGTGGAGAAAATGGGAAGGGAGTGTATGGCCATGTGGTGATGACAGTCTGTAGTGGGGATGCAGGGGTTATCATAAAGTTTTAAGTCAGATTTGTTGTTATATACTGGCCAGTCAGAATTGACTCATAGCTGACTCTCCAGCAGGTTTTCAGAGGCAGTAAATCTCATGAGAGGAGATTGTCCATTCTCCTCCAACAGAGCAGCTGTGAATTTGAACCTTTAGGGTTTGCAGAACAACTCTTTACCACTAAGCCACCAATGAGGCAAAGAAACAAAGGAAAAATGTCACTCTGTAATCTCATTGACATAAGTATGCTCCGTCTATTCTGGAAATCTCTGCTGAGGTTAATTTTTAGCTAATGTCATTCTGACTCATTGTGGGCTTTTTTTTCTCCTCTAACATGTGCTTTTGATTCAATGCTGAAAATCAGGTGTAGAAATATTGGCCTTCACACATTGGAATACAGAGAATCTCATCACTATCCCTCAGTGTCATCCTCTTAACCCCACTGCCAATACCTGTACTTCGTGGAAAATTGGGGATCTCACTGTAGTCAAAGATCTTGGCTTTAGTTACTCTGTCAGCCAGACTTCCTAACCCAGATCCACAAATCACTGCCACTTGAGGTTGATGCTCGATACGAGACAGAAGCCATCCAGCTGTTTTCTGGTAATCTTCGTAAGAGAATCTAGGAGAAACAAAAAAATCTAACTGTGCCCACTCCGAAGGCACAACACAGCAATGCCTGATGACTGTCAATACAGAATGTGTGACAAGTGACATGTGTACTGAGACAGAAAAGAGATTTGGCCAATTGGCTGTCCAGAGAGGAGGCTGCTGCTCTCTCACTAGAGGCTATACCACACCCACCCAATCACCTAATCCTCTCCAAATCAGGCCCAAGGCTGGCATAAAACCAGCTCCATTCCAGAGCCTGGCACAAGATAATGAAGTCTGTTTCTAGTGCCTGTTCAAACTCCAGTATTGCTACAACTGGAAGGTTTAATAACTAACCTTTATGAGAAAGAGAGAAATAGGAAGGGAAATATAGGAGAGAAATAAAAATATGTAGGGTAAAGGGGCTGGGTCTGAGAAAGAAGGTGAGGGAAAACTAGTGGAAGTCTGTGCTTCTCTGGCTCCCATGTACCCTTAATGCCGGGATCCACCAGATCCATGTGAATTTCTCCCTTTAAAATGCATAGCCAGGAAAGTCAGCTGTGACTGTACAGCTAGGCTACCTTCAGGGAAACAGCTGGGTCAGGGCTGAGACTTCAGGAGGATAAAACAAAAATAAATTTGGAGGTAGGGCCATGAGGGAGAACACTCACATAGCATTCCCAGGAAGTACAGAGGAAGTGAATGCGTAACTCTGGCCATCTGATAAATGGAGCCACACAGCTCATGAGGCTTTCGCGGGCGGCCCCAAACGTCTACCAAAAGCACCCTGGATTTCTGGGCATCCAAAAGCCACTGCGACCTCTAGTGCTGGAGACTGTGGGAATTCCAGGACTAAAACAGAGGGGCTTTTCTAAGGTCTAGTAAGGATTTTGGTGGCGTAATGCCTAGATTTATCTTGCTGTTAACCAAAAGATAAACAGTTCAAATTGCAGTCGCCTCAGGCAGAAAAAGAAAAAAAGCTAGCAGATGACTCATGAGCTGGAGAAGGAAAAAGTAAAGGCAAACCTCAATCCCAGTACTAAACCAAGTCAACTGCGCCCTGGATTACAGGATTCCCGAAGCTTTAACTAAGCCGAATACCCCATCTGCTTAGTTCAAACCGCCACCTTGAGATCAGTGTTTTAACCACACCACCACCAGAACTCCTGGCCAATTTTCCCTCTTGCCGAAAAACTCCCTTTCTGAGCACCCACAGTGTGTCACCCCTATGCCTAGGCTCCAGAGTGGAATCTGGGATGGGGTGGGCAGATCTTTCTCCCTGTGTGGAGGAGCTGTAGTGCGGGGACGAGAAGTACGCCTCGCTCTCCACGTACACCCTCTCCCAACACCGAGCGCACACTGGTTCCTGTTATCAGTAGATAGCACCAACGTTGTCGCCTTCCTACGCCGGTGGCGCCACCTCTGCTCTGTTCCCGCGCGCGCCCCAGCTTGCGCCCCTGCCCGCACCCCGCTGCTCTTCCGCCTTGCCCCTTACAATGGGCACCCTGCCAGGCCTCTTGGCATCTCCAAGACACTCGCTCCCTCTCTTGGTCCCGATGGAGCCAAGAGTGCAGGAACCTGTCTCCGTAACAGCCATTTCCCCTCTCCACGGGGCCTCCGGGTTCCCTGGGGCCTGGTGCTCAACTCACTCGTTCTCCATGGTAGCGCCGCGAAGAGTCTGCCCTCCCCGGATCCAGTCAGCTGCACTCCTCTGAATTGCAGTGGCGGGGTGTGGCGGATACAGGGTACTATTCACCGTGCTCTGGCTAATTTATATGCGTAGCCAGGAATCCCCAACCAATGGTAGTGGAGCGGGAAGGCGTCTCTATGGTGACACACCCATATTCAATCGCCTGTGGCTGGGGGGCAAACCTAGTCTCCACCCCGCTCTGGACCCTTTCCCCTAGGGGCATCCAGAGTTGCAACGCTGCACGCACGTGTTCAGCAAGGAAGCTGGGGGAAATCCCTGAATCGTTTATTTGCAAGTCCATTCCGGATTCTGTCTACAATAAATTTTAAGACATTGGAAAAGAAAATGTCAAAACCTCAGATGGCGCAACCCTGGAATAAAATGTTGTGAGCCGGTGTTTTCTGGACAAGGAGAGCAAGGTCAGCCCCGCCAACAGTGCCAACTGGAAGGTTACAAGGTTCAAGAGAACACATCAGGAGTCTATATCGAGGACCACATAGGGAAAAGAGAGTATGAAGGTCAAGAATTGCAGGGCTCTAGATATAGAGAAAGGACAGGGATGGGAGGAGGGTGGGTAGGGGCATGGAATCCGCGATTTTTTGCTATAACTTCGTGAAGTGAAAATTTCTGTAACAGAACCACACAATATCTAGCCTTTGCAAGAACTCACTTACTTTCTCGCTTTCACAAGTTTAACTTCATATCAGATCACTTAAGTATTAGAACCAGCCCGCTCCCTTCAGTGGCCCCACTAGGCTCATTGTCACTTAGTGTGGTAGCAACTCTGGATGTCGCTCCCCCTCAGTAGGGTCAGGGGCCAAAGAGCGATTCAGCCCCTCGGCTCACGCTGCCTCTTCCTTTCCCACCTCTCCCACCAACCCCACCCCCACCCGCGGGCTCTGCGCCCGGGGCCCCACCCCTCCCGCTCCCGCAGCCCCTCCTCCTGGAGGAGGCCTTCCGCTCGGCGCTGTGACACCCGCCTGGGTCCTGCTACTCGTAGCACCCTCCCTGGTAGAAGACAGGGGTGCTGGAATCGGGGACAGCGGAGAAGGAGAGATTGGGTGGTGTTACCACTTGTTTGCACCCTAGTTGACACGACTGCCTTGGTGGCCCCTTCTTTCTCCTTGCCCATCGCCGCGGACACTGGGGTCATTTTAGTGTCCCCCTCTGACAGTGCCAGGGAGTGCGCATCTTCCACACTTCCCAAATCTCTCGAGCTCTAATTTTTCGTTTTTATCCACCGTAATTGTCCAAATCACTGTTTTTCCAACCCTATTTCTGTCTCATTCATTTAACAAATATTGAGCACCAACAGTGAACATAAACTGCTCTCATGCTAGAGACACAAACAAGAATGAAGATTTATAAGGCTGGAAGAGTGATAAGGGGCGGGGCAATATATGTAAAGAATCAAGCCAATGCCAAATAAATAGTTCATCTTATTGTTACTGGGTGGGGGGGGGGTGTTGTTATTATTATCCTTGTTGTTGTTGTTTTTCATTCAGTAATTTTTAGCTAGGGGAGCACTGGTGGCCTAGTGGCAAGAAGCTGCGCTGCAATACTGAAAGGAAGTGGTTCAAATCCACTAGCTGCTAGGCGGGAGAAGGATGGGATTAACTGCCTCTGAAAACCGCCAAAGGTTCAACTATGGATCGGTTTCAACTGTATGATACACAACAATTTTAGCTAAGGCAACAAGTTAAGTTAAAAGTAAACTTTCACTGTAGTAGTGATATTATGAATATTTGAAACATTGAAGGTATGATTTTAAATGATAGATAAAATCAATCTAATTTTAAAAAACAGCTTGAGGAAATTGCTACATGTGATTATTGAAGAATTTTTCAATGCCCCAAATCCAGTCTAGTTTACCCTGAGTTTTATCTAAGAAAGGTTAAGACTTAATCAATTGATTTCATGAAGTCTGTCTAAAGCAAATATATGCAAAGCAAAAAAAAAATTATCTGCACTATACAGTAAACCTTTGAAAGCCAGGACGAAGCTAGTCAGAAAAGGAATATTCAAATAATTTCTGACAGAGAGCAATAAGGAAACTGTTAAGACTGCAGGCTTTCAAAGATAGAAGAATTCAAAGACTTGGAAAAATAGGCAATCTTGTTTAGTCCTGCCTCTCACAGGTTTACTATATCTGCAAAAAAGGGAAATTGGGAAAAAAAAGGGAAATTGAGGGGCACCGCCAATTATGAAAGAAATTTAGTCTTATATGACAGACAAGGACAATTCATCAGGCCACAAGGTGGCTAAGGTAATAATGTAACTTTTAAAATGATACAACATCTTTTACTCTGAATTCAAGTTCAACAGCCAACTTTCTGAATAATCAGAAAAGACTTTAATTTCTTAAAATAGATTCACCAACAGCTGTAAGAAGAAAATGGCCACTTCAACCCAGTAGTCTCCTCACACTACATCTTTATCGTGTCTATCATACAAACGTTCCCAAGCTCCAGTTAGCATCAAACTGTACTTACCTCAGCTCCTGTACTGAACCTACTATACCCAGCTTACTTGAATCTCTAGCTCCTTTACCCCATGGCTTTTGCATCTCTAAATGTTATATTCATCTGTCAGTTTGTTTTACAGTGGTGGGGTGTATGTGTGTGATTGTGATGCTGGAAGCATACCACAAATACTACAAATACCATCAGGGACACCTACAGTATACTGGTTTTGGGGAAGCTTCCATACTGAGACAGACTAGGAATACTGAGACAGATTATTTCTAACAATAACTAGCCAGTGAAAATATTGGTGTAGTGCCAGAAAATAAACCAAGAGAAGTTACCTCCTCAAAGTACTTGTTGATGTTATTAGGTGCCATCAGTCAATTATCATTCAGAGAAACTATGTGAACAACATATCCTGTACCACCTTCACCGTCTCTGACATGCTTGAGATCATTGTGACAGACACTGTGTCAATCCATCTTGTTGAAGATTTTCCTCTTTTCTCTGACCTTTCTCAGAATGATGTCTTTTTCCAAGGACTGGTCCTTCCTGACAACATGTCCACAGTATGTGAGATGAAATGTCTATTCATTATTCTTGCCTCAATGGAGCAAGCACCCTGGTTGCATTTCCCCTAAAATAGACATATTCTTTTGGCAATCCACAGGAAGTTCACAATACTTCTCCAACACCACAATTTAAAGGTATCAGTTCTTCTGTTATCCTTATTCATTGTCCAGGTTTCAGATGAATAGGAAGAAACTGAAAACACTACGGTTTGTAGCTGGCACACTTGTCTTTAAACTTAAGTCCTTGTTCTTTAGTACCTTGCAAAGATCCTTGACAGCAGATTTTCCCAGTGCAACACGTCTTTTAATTTCTTTACTGCTCCTATCATGGGTATTGATTATAGATTCAAGTAAAATGAAAAACATTGACAACTTCAATCTTTTCTCCCTCTTTTGTGATAATGCCTATTGGTCAAGTGATAAGGATGCTTGTTTTCTTGATATTGAGATGTCATCAATATTGAAGGCAGTGGTGTGTGATATTCTGAAGTAACTACTTTAAGTTCTTTTCACTTTTAGCATGTAAGATTGTATCATCTGCATGATTCAAGTAGTTGAAAGTCTTACTCCAATCCTGATGCCACATTCTTTTTCCTGTACTAACTTCTCAAATTATTTGCTCAACACACAAATTGAATAGGTATGGAGAAAGGTACAACATTAACACACATCTGATTTTAAGCAATGCAGTCTGTGTTCTCTGGTTCTTTTCAGACAACTGGCTGGTTCTTAGTCTATGTATAGGTTTCACATGAACACAATTGTGATCTGATTTTGAATGGCCCAGAAAACATTTTTAAAAAAAGCTGGCGGGAATACACAGAATTATTGTACCGAAAAGAAATGATTGAGACTGAAAAATTTCAGGAAGTACCATATGAACAGGAGCCAATGGCAATGAAGGAAGAAGTAGAAGCTGCATTGATGGCATTGGCAAAAAATAAGGCCCCAGGAATTGATGTGATACCAAATGACTTGTTTCAATTAACAAGATGTAGCCTAGGATACACTCACCAGTCTATGCCAGGAAATTTGGAGGTCAGCTGTATGGCCAACAGATTGGAAGAGGTCCATATTTGTTCCCATTCCCAAGAAATGTGATCTAACTGAATGTGGAAACTATCAAACAATATCAGTAATATCACATGCAAGCATAACACTGCTGAGGATCATTCAAAGATGGCTCGAATAATACATAGATAGGAAACTGCCAGAAGGTCAAGCAGGATTTAGAAGAGGCTATAGCACCAGGGATACCATTCTCACGTCAGATGGATCCTGACTGAAAGTAAAGAATACTAGAAGACTGTCTATCTGTGCTTTATTGATTGCAGCAAGGAATTTGGCTGTGTGTATCATAACAAGTTGTAGTTGACATTGAGAAGAATGGGAGTCCCAGAGCACTTAATTGTGCTCATATGAAAGCTATACCTGCACCAGGAGGCTGTTGTGCAAACAGGGAAAACAGCATGATTTAAAATTGAGAAGGATGTGTGTCAAAGTTGTATCCTCTCTCCATACTTATTCAATTTTTATGCCAAGCAAATTCTCTGGGAAACTGGACTCTATGAAAAGGAATGTGACATTAAGGTCGGAGGGAGACTCATCAAAATTTGCACTATGCAGACAACACAAAATTGCTTGCTAAAAGTGAGAAAGACTTGAAGCACTTGTTGCAGAAGATCTGGTAATGCAGCCTTCAGTATGGATTGCATCTCAATGTCAAGAAAAAAAAAGATTCTTACCACTGGTCTGATGGGCAACATAATGACAGATGGAGAAGAGAATGAAACTGTCAACAACTTCATCTTACTTTGATCCACAATTAACACCCTTAGTACCAGCTGTCAGGAAATAAGGAGATACATTGCACTGGGAAAATATGCAGTTAGGAACCTCTCCAAATTACTGAGGAGTAATGATGTCACTTTGA